TTAGTTTTTTTTTCCTATCAAACGCCAGTCTCTAGATACCATACAAATTTTTTTTCAATCTCAAGCTAAATGGGGAGGTTTCGGTCACCTTGCTGGATCCGTTTCATGTCCTTATCAAGCTTGTGAATGACCTTGACTATTGTCGCGTTTTTTGCCATAGATCATATTTTGTTTATTTTTGCTACATGAAGCTTACCAAGTGGTCTCCCCTTGTTGATGTTGGTGTTGAGTCACCGGTCATCTCGATTTGGGTCTCTTTTTCGCAACTGCGGCCTCATCTCTTCTGCCAATGTATTCTTCAAGGGTTAGGCTCTCTGTTTAGCAAACCTTTAAAATTTATGTAGACACTTCTTTGGGTTCAAGATCGTCTTTAGCTCATGTTTTAGTGGAGTTAGATATCACTAAAGCCTACCATGATAAGGTCAGGTTAGGATCGAAGAAACTAGGTTATGTCCAGCAAGTGGTTATAGATGAATTTCCTCATTTCTGTGCTTCTTGTCGGTGTATCGGGCATGCTGTGGGAAATTGTCGTCCCAAGGTCGCTGTCCTAGATTCTGCGAATTTACCACTACCTGTTAAACCTCCTGTTGAGGTTTCAGTGAACCCTGTTGTCTCTGTGAACCCTGTTGTCCCTTCTATGTAGGTGCATGAGGTGCAGGGATTGGGTTGTTTCGTTGGTAAACTTGAGGAAGATGTTGCTATTTTGCTTCCTATTAATGGGCTGGGGTCTCTAGTGTCGTCCTCTCCTAACCCTTTGACTGTTATTTAGTTGAATAATGTGTGCTACTGGGTTTAATGTGAAGGTTTCTATGGAAAATGTGGCTGGGTCTTACCTTCTATTCAGCTCTCTTAGGCTTATGCTAGTGCTTGTGGTCTTTTGGGTTGTGCTGTTAATGCGTGTCCTATTTTGTCTGTGGTGGATGATGTGTCTGCACCATGTTTTTTAAATGTTAATGAGGTGCCTTGTGTGGCTGTGGAGGAATCTGGTGACTTTGGCATCCCTACTGAATTAGGATTGGTTACACCTTCGGGTGTGGTGAGTGAGGGATCTGGTGTTGTTCCTAAGTTTATTTCTCCTATTATGCCTTCTATATTTGATCATTTTGTTGAGGTCCCTGTTAACTTTGTATCACCTAAGGCGTTGGTTGCTCATGTGGGCTTTAATTCGGGGGAGGATGATAGGATACAATTTGATTGGCTGTAGTGCTCATCTGATTCGTCTTCGGAAGCTAGTGGGGATGATGAACCTGTGGTTGATTTTCCCTTAAATAATGATCGTCCTGTTGTTTTAGTTTTCTCTCGTGGGAGGGGTAAACATTGGAGGAAATAATTTGTGGGTTGGTGCTACTGCTCTCGGTTTTCCTTGTTGCCTCTCGATGATGGTTGGTTTTTGCATTTGTTGGATTTTGCTTGTTGACAGTTCACTGAAGCTTCGATTTAAGTTTAGTGCAGAACATTTGATTTGCTGGGCAATGATGTGGTTGGGGCTCACTCTTCCATGCCAAGGCTCATTGTAATGTTTGGTGGTGTTTTATTTCTCAGTTGGGTTGCCTACCTCGTGTTTTACTGTTCTCCGCTTCAAATTGGATAGTCTAAGCCTGGCTATGCAGTAGTTGGTAGCCTCGGCTAAGTTCTAAGCCCGTTGGGATGTAACTCCCTTATTTCTTTTGTTGCTTTTTTGTTCCTTCGCTCCTTTGCATCTTGTACTCCTTTTATTTTTTTAATAAAGTTTTTTATTTATGTTAAAAAAAACACTCCAATTTGGGGAAAAAAAATAGGTTCACATTAATGCTATCAATTTTCATGTCAGGATCTGGATAGAAATCTTGACCTAATTAAGTTTCAAAATAGTTTTAGATTGATAAAAAAATCTAAAATTGAGACGATTATCAATCGTGGTTAAACATAGCAGTTTCAGGTTAAATGGGCCATTTTGGATTAAATGTGGTTTATTTAGGTTGTACGGGTCATGTTAATTAAAAAAACTATATGATATATATATGATAGATAGATAAAATAAGTAGAGTTTGGATTAGTTTGGTATGGATGAAGTATTTTGACACGTCATATACATATCAAACATATTCGTATTGGATTAATTTCATCTCATTACTTGAATTGACACCTCAGAACATGGTGCATCCTAATTCATCTTCGAAATATTAATCTAAATATTATTTTTGTTGGATAGATTGAGATACTGAGTAATAGAAAACACGACCTCACCAATGGCATCTGAGACAGAACGAGCGTGTCTCTAGCTCAGCTCATCAATCCACCGTCCATTTCTAACATTCAATATGATCCCGACCTTACACGTGTATAGCACTAGCACATTCACATCTATATATACACAGCTATCTACAGTACAAGTGTAGTAGAAATTTACTTTACAAAGAAATGAATATTGTTTCTATCTACATAAAGGTTTCTCTGTTTATGTTCCTAGATCTTCTGATTACTCTGTAGTTTTGCTTTATTCACACTAAGAGAAAGCATTTACGACCTTACAAATATGCTAAATAAACTTTGCCTAGAGTTAGATGCCATTATGCATAAAGTAGGTTTCAATATGATAAGTATTAAAAGATATTCATAGATGCTTAGATCAATTTGAGGCTAAGAATAGAATACCATTTCCATTTTGGCAAAATGGTGACAAGATACTTCTTTCTTTTTTCTTATTCTTAAAATAAGAAGTTGGAAAGAAGCTTTAAAGACTAATGAGTTTTAAAGTGGAGCATTTGGTGAATAGAGAATAGTAAAGAGATCATTCTTTACTTTCATTGGTCTTTTGTATTTGATTTAAGTTCCTTTTATCTATCATGCAACATAATAAAGATATATATATGAGATGAAGTTTATAAAATTCAAATAAATTGCTTTAAAATGAAGAAATGCTTTACGTACTTTGTGTGATAAGAGATATAATGAAGATAAAAAGGTAAGATTTATAGATATCGATCTTAAAAGTTGTTATTAAATCACTCATCATAAATATATTTTACGACTGAAAGACATTGATAACACAAAAAAGTGATTGTCACTACTCGCAATAAAACGATAGAAAAGATTTTTAAAAATAGCAGAAATGGGCATTCATTTGAGCTTGTAGAGTTTTCCGGTGCTAACTATATGAGATGCAAAGTTGATCAAAGAAGTATTTCAAACACATGCCAAATTTTAAGACTTTTATTAGTATCAAGATCTAATAGAAAATATAATTTAGTTGTTTTATCCATGACAAGCATAGAGCATGATACTACAAGTAGTTATATCGCATAGTTATTATGTCTTAGACAATAGTAAGAATATTACAAACTAATTAGATTAGATCAAGGTGCATTAAGATGTGATAATACTTGTACAATAAATTGAGCAAAATACTTAGAAATTTGTTATCATTTTATTCGAGATCATGTTACTCAAGGTGATGTAGTTCTAGAGCGAGTGAGTAAAAATCTCCAGCTTTACAAAATCCTAACATGAAGATTGATCCCTCACTACAAGTAGTTTTAGTAAACTTATATAATGCGTTGCAAGTTTATTTTAGATAATCTCTCGATTCGATATCTCAAAATATTAAAATCAATAAAATAATAAGAAATTATAGTATTAGCAGATAAGTGTAAAGGGCCTCCGCGAAGTTACTGATAACCTGTAAATCTTTTCAGTCATTCACTCTTAAAAGACTATCAATAATTGTTATTATCCAATTTACTATATCCATCAATATTTTCAATTTTCAACATATATCCATTCTCTTCTCACCTAAATATTTAATAGAATTAATGCACTAAGTATTATATATGTTTAATTAAATATTAATTCTATATTTTTCTTAAACAAGTTTACTAATCACACACCAAGACTAGGGCTTGGCCCGGAAGATGGGCTTCACTAAATTTATGAGGCTGGAGCCACATTATATTAAGTTTTTATGGCCCAGTTTAAGAGCCCATGTACTCAATTGGCTTACACATCCAGCCCAATTGTCCTAACGGGCCAGATTTGGACTTTTTAGGAATAAGCCTGACCCACTTCTAAGAATTTGTCTTTTTTATAAATAAGGGGTTATTTGATTTGATGAAAAAAAAAAACATACAATAATTCAAATGCAAAAATTTTAAAAATTTTGGTCTTGATTGTTGAAAGAGTAATTTTTAATAAAATTATGATGAATTCCAAATAAACTTTATAGTTCATTTTTTATGTATTCTAAAACAGGAGTATTTTTTTATCGGATTTTAAATATGCTACTGCTATCGCCACTAGTCTGCCATCACCGCCTGTCATCGTAGTTGATTGTTCTAGTTAGTCTGGAACAACTTTTTTATTGGTTCTTAAAGCATCTTTCTAGCACAAAAATTTTAGCTTTTGTACTATAAAACTGCTTTAAAAAACAGTAAGAAAGTCGTCCCAAATGAAACCTAAAATTTAGCCTAAAGTCTTAACTTAATTATCATGACCCTCCATTAGGGCACACATCTATCTTAAATTTGAAGAATTATTTGTTAGATCAAATTTATTCATGCCCCCTCTTCCAATATCATGATCAAAGACACCTAAATCAATCACACCAAAAAATAAAACACATGATTCACATAATAATTATAATAATAATAAAACTTTAGGCTACGTTTATGACGTCTTTCTTACTGCTTTCTGAAGCAACTTTTTAGTACAAAATTTTTTAGTTTAAGAAATTTTTATACTAAAAAAATGTTTTAAAAAGCAATAAAAAAGTCGCCATAAACAAAGTCTTAGACTCCTAAATTGTTTTCATCATAAACAAATCAAAACTTTAAGAAAATCAACAAATAAAATTTCACCATGAAAATATCATCAATTATAAGCAAACTATACAATATGAATGAAATTCTCACACAATAATTAAATGGAATTAAATAAAAGGAGATATCAACAACAAAGCCAATAAAATAAAGAAGAACAACCACACAAGGAGAAATCTCAACCGTTCATTAGTTTTGCTGATCATTTTAGGCCCTTGGTCTTATTGCTGCTGCGCCATGTATCGCAAGAATGTATAGAAGCTGGGTTGCTGAAAGGATGATCATAAAAGCCTCCATTGTTCTCTGCAAAAATCACCAAAAAAAAAACAAAAAAATAACTAATATTTTGATTTTTTATGAAAAAAAAAATATTTTTTTGGTTGATCGAATATTTGAATTGTATTAAACATACCAGGCGCGTATTTCTTCCCTCTAAATCAATTTCTTTGCAGGCTAAACTGCGTAAAATAAGAAGAAAATGAATCATTTCAGTTTCCTTTCTCATTACTCACTGTTGTGCAAAGTTAAGGAAATCCAACTTAGGGCATCTCCAGCCGAACCGAACGTCATTCATCTATTGCAAGTCTCCGCTCGAACATCAAAAAAGAAAACACATTTTGTAGTTTTCGCGCTATAGTTAGCAATGCGACGCCAATATTGACATTGCACTGATCAAAACACGAAAATAGTATTCAGTTTGTCGTTCAGTTGGACGCTCATGGCTATTGCAAACGGAGAGTGTCATTTGGTTGGATATGGCCTTAGGCTTCATTTAGGACAATTTTTGACCACTGCTTCTTCGTTGATTTCAAAAAAATTTATACTAAAAAGTTGTCTTAAAAAACAGTAAGAAAGATATGTCAGACGAAGCATTACGAAGCATTAGACTTTGAAATCTCAATATGTCACAATTTAATATTTATTCATCTAGCACTTTATTACTGGTGTTCGTCAGACACTCAATAGATTGGAAGAGAGAGAGAGAGAGCGAAAGAGAGGGAGAGGGAGCGGAGACGTAATAAAAGCTTAATTAATCCTTACAAGGAAACCGACGACATGTGAAAGACGACTAGATTGACGACGAGCGTGGCGCCCATATTGAAAGACGAAGGGACGACTGGGATGGTAACAGGAGATGTTATTTTTTTATTTTATTTTGATAATTTGAGTGTCATGAATGTATAGAGTAAAATTTTTATGATAAACATAATAATCATTATGTTTTAGATGATGTTATATATTCCTTCTAAAAAGTTATTTTTATAATAAATTTAAAAATAATTAAAAAAAAACTTAAATAAAATCACCAAAATAAAGATAAACAACCTGCTACAGAATATATTTTGAAAGTGAGAAGAGCACTTACCCCATGGCGAGAAGGGTAAGACACCATGCAATGACAGCAGAGGAAGCCGCCGCCGGCAAGCTATCGGAATTCCAAGCTCGGATATGGTTGAAGCCGGCGAGGGCGGCGCCCGCCCCCACAACTGAAGCAATGAGCGCAAATATGACAAAGAATCCGGTCGCCGCGTTCCCCATTGGGAAGAATATAGGCGAGAACTGGGCAGGGAGGACCATTTCTGAAGCTGTTGCATCAAAACTCTCATAATATTTATTTGGTTAAAAAAAATATTTGGGAAATTTACCTACAAACCTCAAAATTCTTATATATTTAGATATTTAACCACCAAAATTTTTATATTTATTTATTTTTCACTTTTACCATAAAATTCTTACTTATTTCCATATTAACACATAAATTTAATATTTACTAAGAAAACTCTAAAATCCACAAAGTAAAAATAAAAAAATAACATAAATGCAAATTTATTTAAATAAAAACACATGCTTTTATTCATATTTTCTTGTGATTTAGACATGAAATAAAACTGATTATTGATATATAAGAAAATATAAATATTTATGTATTATATTCATAAATATATAAAAAGAATTTATTATATATATATAATTCTTTTATAAAATAATATTATGCTATAATTCTATTAAAATTTTGTATAATTGTTCTCTCTCTTGTCTCTCTAGCAATATACCTCGACAAAATTATTTTGAAATGATAATAATACACAATGGAGAAAAATGATTCATGTAGTTAATCCCAAGTAGTGGGATAAAGGCTTAATGTTGTTGTTTTTGCTAATTTATGTTATATATTTAAAAAAAAAATGTTATATATTTTAAAAAAATTACAATTATAAATTATGTACAAAATTTAAATTATAAACCTTCATCGATGAATCATTCATCTTAGATTATTTATAATTACTAAGTAAGCAAAATTAATTTTTAATAATTTATATTTTAAAAATAAAAAGTAAAATAGATAAACAATTAAATATAATTAATTAATAGAATTATATTATTCCCATTATTAAAAAATTAAAATTTATTATTAAAAATATAAAATTTATGAGTTTTTAAGTAGAACATTGCAACTAAATATTTAGTCCTACATCACATCGGAGCTTTGTTATGTTTTGTTTATATAGTTTTATTTGTTTGCTTGCATTGGGAACTCGTATATGGTGGTGAGACTATGGAGAGATTATTTTGTGCGGATGCTGAACGCAGTTCATCATTCGGAGACCAATCAGAATACGTCACGTCAACAGTACCGAGCTCAATACCAAACGGTATTGAGCTGGGAGCGATGTGACGCATTCTGGATGGTTTTCAGACGGCGTTCAACGTCCATACAAAATAATTTTACGATACTAACGGTACTTTTTGTTAGTGTAGGTTGATAAATGATCATTAAAATTAAAAAAATAAATAAAAATGATCATAATAAAATTAAATTTAATATTTTAAAATAATTTAATTAATTATTAGAAAAGAAATTGTTCTTATAAACTATGATTGATTTAATGATCATGATTGGCCAGTTGAAACGACTATTTAGACTCGTTCACACAAGTTCCAAACTGCATCCTTTTTTAATATCGACCGAATTAGCCATTGGACCAGTTCATAGTTGAACCGATTGAACCAGTCAGTCCAATTCAATGCTCAAAGCCATGATTATTTGTAAATATCATAATTCAACTTCTCATCCTCATTTTCTCACACTATCAAATTATCAAAACATTCATCTTCACCATCTTTTGTACCCAAACATTTGAAATATTTATTTTTTCTTCTGCGCTCAAATTCTCGAAACTCTCTTTTTTGAAAGCAACAAGAAAATAATTATCAATTAAAAATTATTATTATTATCTGAAAAGCAAATTAGTAAGAAAGTTATCCCAAACGAAATCTTTATTTCTTGATTTATGGTTGCATCTTTGTTAAAGAGGTGATGATTTGTTCTTCTCTTTAGAAGGGAGATTAGGATTGCTACCTTGAAAAGTCATCCAGATATGTTTCTTTGAGGAAGGATGATCCATCTCTTAACAAAGAGAGATATCTTTAATCATCATTTTGCTTTAATTAATATTATGTTAATTACATTGCCATCCAAATAATAATTTCATTCATATATCATTGACTGAATCAATTCCCTAACTTTTTCTGAATGATCAAAATAGTCATCGACTATATAAAAATACCAATTTGGCCCTTTAACTCATTAAATATTGATCAAATTAATCCTTTCGTAATATCATTTAGGTCCTTATTTAAAAAATCAATAGTCTAAAATGAGATTTTTAAATAGTTTGGGACCATTTTGATCCTTCGTAAGAATCAGATGATCATTTTGATCGTTATCTCGTATTTTATTTAATATCTTATATAATGAATCAAATTTGAGAAATTATAAATATCATCATAACTAAAGATATTAGTGAATCTAAAATCTGATATCTGTTGATAAATATGATATTTTATGTCATATATGAGCTAACAGAAAATCCCAGCATTTATGTGAATGGCAAGTCATCAATTTTATTGAAAGGGCCATGGCAAATCAAAGGGATCCAGTCTGATTTGGCTTCAAATTTTGAGTAGATTGTTAGGTAGATTGTGCTGTAAGCGTAGAATAATCTGCTGAAGATGTGATTGTTTGTTTGCCTTCCCCTACAGCTGCCTTGCTGTGGCCAATGTCTTCCAAAAGTTGGTTCAAGTGAGAACAAATGCCAATCTTACGGAAAATTATTAGGTCCGGATACTGAACGTAGAGATACGTCTGGTGTTCAATAAAATATTGATATGTGGAATGTACACGTGTCAGCGGAATTTTAAGTTAAGCGCGCCAAAAGCACAGGTAAAGCGAAGTCAAAAAACGCAGTCAAAGCACAGGCAAAGCGTAGTCAAAAAACGCAGTCAATACGCAACACACGTGTCAAATTTTAATTGGATATCCGGACCTATATCTATGTCCGGTGTCTGGACCTAATAATTTTCCCAATCCTATAGACCATACAAACTGATTTAGGTTTCGTTTGGGTCCTTTGGGATGACTTTTTTATTGTTTCTTAAAGCAGCTTTTTAGATAAAAAGTTAAAATTTTTGTACTAGAAAGCTGCTTCAAGAAGTAATAAAAAAGTCGTCCCAAATGAAGCCTTAGGCTTTGTTTGGGATGACTTTTCTTACCGCTTCTTAAAACAAAATTTAAATTTTTTGTACTAAAAAAATACTATAAGAAACAGTAAAAATGCCGTGCCAAACGAACCCTTCAAAGTTGGCAGAACAATATGTAACGAAAGCATATGTGTTTGAATCCTTGAATAATGCAATCAAATGGAAGAACATATTTTTTTAGGCTTGTGACAATAATATCAATTAATAGGACAAAAATAACTTCGAAAAAAAAAAACTCTATATTCGAATGTTCACATAAAAAAAATAATCATCATGAGCTTTAAAGTCCTTAGATTGGCTTTGAGATGTATGTAATACTATTTTCCTTCCTAACAGAAGGAAAGTCCAAGCTAATTATCAATAAAATATAAAATTAAATAACTACGTAATCTCACACAATGTCATATACATACTAGATTTTCACTTCACTAACTTTTTTCATTTTGTTGCGGGTTAGAATATTCACGGTGGTAAAATATTTAATTTGGCATCTTAGATGAGTATCCACCTCACAAACAGATAAAATAAAAACACCAGAATTTTTTACGTGAAAAATCCTGAAAGGAAAAACCATAGGATCATACTCAGCTGAAATAAATCTACTAGTGTTTGAATAGATTAATAATGATAGATTCATCCTTGAATGATCAGATTACAATAGTCATCGATCTGGTTGAAATCTTGTGATGAACATGGATCAAACGGAAGTCCGCGATGCTCGGTGGCCAAGAAAAAATCAGGTGCCAGTTTGTGGCCTGGAAGAAGTCTGACGACAGTTGGGGGTAGAGAGAAAGTTTGGCAACAATTGATGGCTGAGCGGAAGTCCGGTGAAAGTCTGTCAACTGTCGGTGATCAGGCAGTAGTTGAGTAGGAGGCTGGTGGCAAGAGAACTTTGATTTCTCTTCCTTCTTTCGCTTCTTTGCTTGGTCCCCCTTCAGTGGAGAATGAGGGGGTCTATTTATATTTTTTAGGAAATGGCATGGCCAGTAAATATGGAGGAGATCAAGTCATGTTGGGAGTGTTTTGAATGGATGGCTGATATCGACTCCCTTAATTATGAATTGTTTATTAAGTATTTGATTGTCTTAATAATATCAGAAATCAATGAGCTTAGGCTCATTGGATTCGTCTCATCGAGCCACTCGATTTAACAATAAGCATGTCATATTTGAAAATCATTTGGTCATCTAATTTTATATTTGAACTTTCAAAATGTGATTCGAGTGCTCAATTTATTGGCCCCATTTTGGCTTGATCTGGGTCGAATTTGGTGTCGTTGGGTTCTTCTTTTTGCTAAAATCGGAGTTCAAATGATCTCGGGTTTAATTTTGGAAATTTCAAGTTTAAATTTGCTTCGAGATCCATGCTCAATCATAAAAATTATTTGAACGATGAATCCAAGATCATTAAAAAATATGATAAGAAGCTTCTTGTAATTTTCTTTACTAACTATTTTGCGATCCAGGAAATTCATAGTGGGATGACAATCCAAGATTCACAACCAATTTAAGAGCACAATTTAAGTTTTTGATAAACGGATTGCATATTGGTTGCTTTGGAGGGATGTTTGTTAAGTAGTTAGATGGCTATCAAAAAGGCATCAATTCATAACTGGTGAGATATCTTTGCACTGAAAAGTGTTCAATCGAGTAGTCTAAATAACCTGATGATGTTTTCATTCGGCCACCCCATTTTGTTCAGAATTAATTTGATTTTATGTGAAGTGAGATGATTTTGGAGAATGTTGGAGGTGTATTCACCCCCTCAGTCAGATTAGAAAATTTAATTTTGATATTGAATTGATTTTCCATCATTTTTTTTAATAGAAGAAAAACCTTTGTGTGATTTTAAGATTATGCAAATATTAGTAAGATCAAACAGAATTAAGAACAACAGCTAATAAACATAATATAATTATTTATAATCATGCAAATAGGGAGGACCCAATACACCTAAGTAAACCAATACAAAACAAATTGGGGGTGTTAATATTTGACCCGACCCGAAATTCCAAGTTCAAGTCAGCCCGTTTGCTA